TTCTCTCTTGACCTTTCTTACTTTTCCAGAACGCTGCCTGTGTGAACAAATCAGTACAAGATGAAGAAACGGCAAACAGATGGGGAGAGGAACACAACAAACTCGGCTGGTGACTGCGTCCAGGGACAGCCAGCTCCCCTGTTTTCCAAGCTGGGAACATTTTAACAACTGTCTCCATGGTCCTTTTTTTGCGTCACACTTCAGTTTGTGTCAACTATTGTACTGGCAGGGCTCATTTTGATGCCACTTTTCCCGTCTTTCTGCAGCGCTACATCCCCTGGACCAGCACAGGTCTCTGTCTCCAGCTGAGACCTCGCAGGGCTGCTCCAGACGTTGCATCTGTGCACAGGGAAATCAGACAATTTCCGTGGGCATCTTCTGCTCTTGAAGTTACAGCTATGCATCTCCACCACAGAAATGCCATGCGGTAAGAATCTGGCCAGTGACAAAGTCAGAGTGTTTTTAAGATAATAAACATATGGGTAAAGTGAATAGGAATGGATGGACATAAACCAAGGGTGGAAATCTGCCCCAAACGTACCCAAAACATTTGGGTTATTGCTTTGTGTTGTAATCTGGGGACTGATTCAACTTAAGAAAGGAAATCTTTCTGATGCAGAGAACAGCGATTTTATACTCACTTGAACTTCCTCTTAAAATCACGTGGAAATGATTTAACAGAGTGAAGCACCTGCTAGCAATCCAATATTTATAAGGCTTTTGGTTGTTCTTTTGTGCTGTGTTTGTACTCATCTCAAGTGGTAAATTCACCTCTACACATTTTTTTTAAAAAAAACATTCTTACAAATAATAAATATGATGACAAGGGCAATATATTCTTATCTGCTATGGAAAATACTCATTGTAGGAAATAACGCACTATGGAATATAATTTTCGGTAATTATTATTATTTAGCTTTAGTGTGACACTTCTATAAAATATATCAACCAATATGCCAGGTCAACTCTGAGGAAAGGAAAAGTAGACAATTTTCTAAACTCTTTTTTTTTGCGTAATATTCATCTGATTCTTTCTAACATTAAGCTCTTCCTCCCTAATTTCTACATCTTCCACTCCTCTTTCTTCCTTACTTACCTTTTCGAGGATTTAACCCTCACAAACAGTGAGGTAAATGTTGAGGAAGATGTATCTGTTTCATGCATTAATCCGGAAAACAGTATTGAAGGTATTTTTGCTGGGCATTAGGAGGTGTCTCCCTGGTCAGAACTGTTGTTTCATGTTCCTTGCCAACAAAAGCAAATATGACTGCCTGGTTCAGTGAAGCACCAGGGACAGATAGTTCAACACGGAATGGATTCCAGGACACACCTTTTTTTGGGGGGGAAGGCTTGAAACTAATCAAGAAATGTGCTCGAAATACCATGCCGAATCTGTTCCCCAACATCTGTATACTGATAAAACTCCCCAGTTTTATCAGCAGAACATGCCTAGTTCATTGCAGCAGAAGTTTCATGTCACTACTGAGATATTGAAAAATTTCTCCTATATGTCAAGATTAATATTGAAAGCTCTTCACTCCGTCTAAGTGTGACCTAATCCTTTTAGGGGATATGCTGCAGAAACACTTGTGGTTCTGTAGATGCTAGTTGATCACAAAAAATTGGGAAAGCTAGTCTCCAAATTTAAAAGATTGGGTAGTCATTCAACAGATTAAAAATTTGAGTATTTGGAGTATTCAAGTGAAAATATCCAAGACATTTCTGAGAATTAATTTTTTATACTATCTCTAGGAAAAACACCCAAACTAGTTGATTTATGTTCAGGGTCTCACTTTAGAGACTTCCACGAGAATGCCACTTGCCATAAAATATTTCTCAGCATAGACAAACAGACTATATACATTGAGCCAGCAAGCTTCCATAGACACCAGTAGCTAATTTGGGTTTAACACATTCTTTCAAACATTCCCTATGAACTGTGTAGTGAGCAGTGAGACCTACATTCACCCTCCTGATTTTCAGCATTTAGCTAAGCTGGGATTGTGGTCTCCTTAGCATCCTCTTATAGTCAACAGCAGATCAGAGCCTGAGTTAGACCAGCTTGTCCTACATCTGAAACTCCCTGCAGCCCTCCCCAGCCTATAGTGAACCAAAAGGCTCCAGAGAAACCCATGCAAGTGCCTAAATAAAGGCCCAAATTTAGACCCCAAGTAGAAACAAACTGCAGATTAGCTCTGGTTCTTATTAGATTCTGGTATGTGCAAACAATTAATGTATTGAATTTTCATGAGCTTTCAATCCCCTATATCACAGTTGAGCAAATGAAAAGAGAGTTTCTTCCTCATCTAAGTCTCCTAGCACGGTTTTTCTGGGGTTAAAGTCATAAAGTTAGTTCTAATGGGACTGAAATGATTTAAACAATGTCAGTGTTTTGAGACATTTATGCTGCACCCAAGAAAAATTACAGATTTGCATGAGAAAGTAATTAATTTTGCAAAAGCACAGGATAATATTGTATTTCTTTTACAGTCCTCTTTTAAGAAGACTTAATTCTGAATTTACTTGCACTGTTTTGGTTTGGTTTTACACTGGTTTAATTTAACAATTTTAACTCATGTTAATATATTTTATAGTAATTAAAACTATATGCAGCAAAAGACAATGAAGCTTAAAGTTAAATCTTTACCTCTAGCAGCCATTAGGGTTTATGGCTCACTGAACTTTCTCCAAACATATAATCAAGCTTCCCAGTCTAAGAGAGCATAATCCCTAAATTAACAAATATACTTTCAGCTTAGCTTTAAACCTCAAACTAAACAGTGTAATCAAAACATTGTGCTGTTAGCAAATTCTTTTCCAAAGTCTAAAACCAACGAAACCCTGAAATTTCAATTACTCGCACCTTTCAACTTATACAGGGAAGGCACCTTTCCACTCCCTGGCTGAACAAAAACATTCAAGGGTGCACTTTCAGTGCATCAGATGGAGATGATGGTGCCCGCTTCTTCCATTAGCAGGCCCCCAGTGCTATGAAAAGGTGTACATAAACCTGCAGGCTCCACTTTCTGGCAAAAGTACAGAGGTGGTAGTAGTGTGGTCAATCAGAACCCAAGAAAATACTTTTCCCATTCACTGAGCAAATGAGAGACAAGAGATGGAGAGGAGAGAAAGACTCGGATAACGATTGTGTTCAAAAAATAGATATTGGAGAAATTTCATGGTAATGCTGAAGTGATGACCATAATGTATCTTCAGGCCGCATGTCCTGCCTCCCAGTGCAATGAACATTGGACGGCTTCCCACTAAACATGGGGCATTTTGATTCAAACACAAAGTGCAATGTAAGTGCACAAGCAGGCTTTCAGACTGGGAATTATTTTCATTATATCAGTATCTTCTAGATTGTAACCATACTTAAGGCACTGAAAACCAATAGTTCTTTCTGTCTGTTTTAACAATAACAATTCTTTTTAAAAAATGAATGTGTTTTTCTGAAGAACTATTTTTTGACCTTTACAGCTAAGAGTAGTTAAGAAGCAATTCTCTCTTCTTACCCAGGAACCTCAACTAAAACCTGTCATCAGCTGTTCACCCAAAGGGTTAAACTTCCAAAGGTTGAATTTTGCATTCACTGTAAGGGTAAACATAGGCGCAAGCAAATGAAAATAAACAGCTTTGTAGGCATTGCACAAGCATATGAACAGTCAGGTATGAAAACTTGTTTTTGCATGCAGATAACCACCTCCTCCTGACCTTTCATATGCATCTTATAAAAGTAACTTGATTGGCAACTTTTCACAGTTCAGTTCTATTACTGCAAATTTTAGAGAGTTCAACATAAAGGACGACGAAAAAAACACACCAATATCCCACCCCCCCCAAAAAATCTAAACAGAAAGTCCAACATTTCATGTGAACTTAATTAGCATTAGGATAACAAAGCAAGTCTGAGTCCTGCAAGCTTGAGACCCAAAAGAATTTTGTCAGGTAAAACTGCCCAACATACTGAGTTTGCAATCCACAGATTATTTCCTATAGCAGCCCAGGGTACTCCTGCTCAGGGGCACTGCTCTGCCACAGACTTTTCTCAGCATGGTTCGGCAGCGTTTGATAGAAGAAACTTAAAATTTCATTCACCCAGGCCTTTATTAGAGGGAAGAGATCAGATTAGACCTTATTTTCTGCAGTAAGAAGGTACAACTTATTGGTGATTTTATAACAAATTAGATTATTTCTGATTTTGCCTTTCAATTTTCAAGGTAATTCAACACATGTCAAGAGGAAAACTAAGTGTATACACAGTAAGTAAATAAATCATGAGAAGAATCTATATGCAGTTTCATAGTGCAGGTTAGGTTAAAAAAAACTGTAGTGCACAAATGCTGAAATTCAGACTCCACTGGCAAACTTGCCTGATGAACTCCACCGTGTAGTACTGGATGGGAGAACTTCCTTCACTCACTCCAGGCTTCCAGGATAACGCAACTTCTGAATCAGAAACTACCACGACCTGGGGCTGGTAGGGCGGCGCAGGGGCCATGCACTTATCTAAGTCAGAAGAAATGCAAAGCCATACCATTAGAGAAGCGGACAGGCTAATACACACGATATCCCAAAACTCACGGTCTTGGGAATCAAACTCACAGGCTTCTCCCCTCACCTGTTGCCCCTCTAAAACCCCACAGTTGTGGAATAATAATAGTAAAATATTATGATACGGCACATGACAGATTTAGGTGCAAGTGACCTGCTGTGTTACAGACGTGTGCCCTGCCGGTTTTGCAACAGAAAGCGACGTTACCTTGGGATAAGGTTGTCACGTCTCTGGGCATGCTGGGTCGTCCTTTCCCTGCCCATCCATATGCTCCAACGCTAACACGGTGTGGAGTGCCTGGCCTCAGATCACCAATAACAACTTCCTACCAGAGTCAAGAGAAGACAAGACAAGAACATTGTGAAAGATCTTCTGTGTAACTGGGGACAGTGCTGTGAGCTGTGATTCAGGGTTCTTACACGGCATTTTCCATGTAACCTCCTAGGACGATTGTCCCCAGCCCAGCCCAGCTCAGAAGCAACAAACACAAACAGCACCATGTGTTTCCTCTCAAGTTGCAGCTTTGCCCCGGGGGAATCCTCAGGGATGACCTGGGCCCATTTCTCAGCATAACTCACAAGGTTGCAGATTGTTTGCATTCGCTCTCCGGCTTTTTTGCTGGTGAAGTCAAAGTCACATACTATTCCCTCCCTTGAGCCAATTGCTGACATTCAGTATCAGTCTAGTGCATTGTCTTTTTTTTTCTTTCTTTTTTTTTCTTTTTTCTTTTTTTTTTTGTTTGTTTGTTTTTGGCTTTGTTTCTCTTTTAAATCTCGAGACCACAGAAGCTCCTGAGAACGAAGCAAGTTGTGGCAGTGTGAACTGATGATCTTTAATTTCTCACGGAGCAAATACCAGTCTCATTGCCTCTCACAATTTTCCTAGCCTAGCTATCAGCCTTGATGAGCATTTCCCTTCTTTGTCTCTCTGCCATAAATACAGAAAGATTAACCCACAGACAACTACTGCAAGGGAGGCGATGCTAACCTCCACCTGAAGAGCTTTTGCTGCTGAATACTGTTCAGAGGAGCCTGCTCCAATCTCCCAGAAATCAGCAAATGTCAACAAAAAATTACATGGCTGGTACACATAGCATGGATCAGCTTCAGATATTTGGATCTAGTCTTTAATGCAGCATGTGTATGTGTGTCTAGAAATTTGGTATTCTTTACCTCCAGCCTACCTGTAGAGAGATGTAAATCCGAGATTTATGAATTTTTATAGCATATACAAATAAATGGAAATACCAGGTTCTACACCACAGACTGTTTTGGTGTGGAAAAAAACACTTACAAAAACTGTTTTACAGAGAATTTTCTTCTGTTTTTCATTCTCTGATATTAAAAGCATTATTCACATTGCATGTGAAAATGCAGGGATGCCCTTTCTCTTCACACGGGAACAGACTTTAAATCTGCATTTCCAGTTGCAGTAAAATAGTAAACAATTCCCAAATTTTATCAACTGCTAAATTTCCTCATGACGGTCTTTTGGACAAACTCTCCCTCTCTATTCTTTGGGGAACTTATGTTATTACTACAACATTGTTCAGCAACACCCTGCTGTCTGTCATTTCTCTAGCCAGGGTTTTGGAGCTCCATCCCTGATTTCCTATTAACATGGACCACCTGACCATTATCCTGTTTTTCCATCGTTCACCCACGATCTGCCTGAATGATTTGGATTCATCTGAGGGAGACGATAACAATGATGGAAAAGTAACTGCCCAGAGAGAGGCAGCAAGCACACTCACACTGAAAGATTTATCTGGGTCTTTCATAGCTGAGCTTTCAGTCTCATAGCTGAAGTGACTAAAACTTTTCAAAAGATCTTTTCTGAAAAGCCAGTTGCTGAAAACCCAGCACCTCCTCCCAATGACAATACTGATGTCCTTGCTCCTGCCATCCCATCCTCCACACCATACATACCGTCCATCTGTATTTAAACTGTGTGCATTTGTTCCTGCCAGCATCCCTGTTTATTACGTTCACTCATATGAGAAAAAATCGTTCATTATGTGTCTTATTGCTTTCACACTGTTCAGGAACTTGGCCTCTGCAAAGAGTGGGATATTGATGTACTTGCCTCATATTACTACCTCCAGAACCAAGTCTACAATAAACTAAACAGAACGAATCTCATTGATTGCAAGACCAATCAAGATCGAAGTCCTAATATCTGCTTAGGTATTTAAGTTCAACATGTGTACCCTCAAAACCTCCGCAAGGTGCTCCCTTGCCTTACACACATGGCTATCTGCCTCTTTCTTCTGGCAATGTCTTCCCCACGAGCACAGCTGTTGGACATACAGTGGATATCTTTGAGATCAAGTATCTTCTAATCTTCTAGGATCAAGACATTAGTGAATAGGTAAAGATTCAGGACATCATCAAACTACCCTGATCTGTGGCAATCTCAGGGAATACCCACCTCACACCAGAATGCTTTCAAATGCGATTCTGGAGAAGAAACACATTTTCTTGTACCACACTGTCCAGGAACCTGGGAGTATATATTTCATCTCTTTTTTTGCTTGCAATTAGGAGAATGGTGTTAAACCCAAGTTTTCTCCAGTCCAGAAGAGACAGGGTGGACTCACAGATAAGGAATTTAGGTAGTACGTGAAAGAACTAGCTTCCCATCATTTTTGTAGTCTTTTTCTCCACTCACATTGCCTGTATATTTTGAAGCATGATACCCCAAACTGGGCGTCACATTGCCCATGAGGCTTTACTAGGCACGAACATCACTTTCTTGTCTTATCCAACACTCTTGCTAAAACACTGCAAAATGACAACTGGTAATTTCATTACAATCTCACATTCTTGAATGGGGGGAAGCAATGCAATGCCTTTCCTGTGGTGGAGAGCCAGATGTACCTAGAAACCGTATAACCCTCCCTGCCCTGCCACACAGCTTGCCCTCCCTCCAAGTGTGTTGAAACAGTTTGTGAGGCTGCGCAGCAAGCCACCTCACAGGAACCAGGATTAAAAATTATTTGCCATAGAAAAGCTGTTTTTTGTTTTGTTTTGTTTTAATTAAAAAAAAAAACAAACACAAAACCAACCTTGATTACAGCACGGCTGCAGAAACTGAGCTGGGTTTAACGATACTTGATGCCCTGACAACTCCTTCCCTCCACTACTGGGCTCAGCTGGTCACTCCCTATTTTGTACTGGTGTGATTGGTAATTTAACAGGGAGCACTATTGCTCTCCATGGCTCTGTGCCTGACCTAAAAACTTCCACCTTTAAGGTCTACTAATTTTTCTTGTTTTCTTCTTTTTTTTTTAATATTTTTGCTCAACTTCCTGAATATTATGCCCACTAGAACAACTGCCTTATTAAATTGTACTGCATCTGCACTTCTCCTGGCTGCTCTCACTTACATGTTCTCTATTATAAGGTGGTACAATACAGCTATAAGACATTATCCCCTTTGCTAACTTTTGCACAGGCACATGCACACACAGAAACAGGCGACCCAGTTCAGCTCTTGTGACAACAGTCTCACATGGTCCAGAGGAGCTTCTGAGAAAGCAGCGGGGTCGTACCCGGCACCGGGAGAGGAGGCTTAGTGACAGAAACATGAACTATGCAGACTTAACCACAAAACTATTGCAGATTTCTGTGGAGTTTAGTATGAATATAACAGAAAGCATTTCAGCGAGAACACCACTTCCTGAGGATTAATGACAGCTGGGAGCTGATTAATCCCAGTCAGTCATACTCTCCGCAAGTACCGCTCAGAAGTGTTATTTTTATCAAGCAGGAAAAAAGGGCCCAGCATGGAACCTCAACTCTGAAATGTCATAATCCAGACTCAGCTCAGCTGGGATCGAACCAGATAGTCCTGGTTCAAGCACATCCTGAGGTCTCATCTGGACATCAGCCTCCTACAGTCAAACCAAACATGCTTTAATTCAGACTACGAAAGCTGTGCAAGATCCACCATCTTTGTGGGATTTCTCCATTCCTAGAACAGCTCTCAGAAAAAAAAGTTTACAATATGTTGTTGATGTTAGGGATTTCAGTCAAACACTGAAATCGCTGCCCTTACCCCACCCGTACCCAAGCGCCTCCTGCTTGCTTCCCCCCTCACAATAAACCCAATCCGTTTACTGCTCATAGGAAGCAGACAGACTGAGTGCAGGACTGGAAAAAATTAATCTGAATAATTCACCAGCTGCAAAGCGATTAAGAGGGCTGTTATTTCTTTCAAACCTGTTTTATACTAGTTGTTAGTCTCCCACTCCTTCCTCCTGGGCATTACGTGGCTGGCCTCATCCCCTGCTCCTCCTCCTCAGCGCTCACTGGGCTGGCTCAGGTTTTCCCTCTCCACCACCTCTCCCATGGCCAGACTTTGTTCTTCCTTGTCACTGTATGTCTGACTGCCCGACTGTCTCTGGCCCCTGTAAGTCCTCACTGCCTGAATATAGCTCATTTTTTACACTAATTTACTCCAGCAAAACAAGACATCCATAAATATTTTTGATGACTGAGGGAAAAGTCTACTCATTGCTAAAAAGGAAGCTGCTGTATGTACATGTGCCCACTTTCTTCATCTCTGGGTTTTGAGCTTTAGCTACTATTTGCCACATTTTGACTACAAAAGATCCTGTATAAGTTCTAAGTAAAATCAACATTTGAGATCAACTTTAGTGTGTAAATCTGTGGAAAAACCAGGTCAGCAATGTTCAATTTAATTTTAAATCACAGCTGCGACCAAGTTTCATGTGAGCAATACTTACAAAAACTGCTTGTCCTTCAAGTTGACCCTGGGAAAAAGCAAAATAGGACTTGTTAATGAAGTAACATACTAAAAGTGATGACAAAACCACATAAATAACAGGTCAGGGAATTAAAACAAGGCCAATGCTGCAGCACATAGTAGTCTATGTGGCTGTTATTCATCTGTATGAGTACTGGGATACAGACTTTGTTCTCCCAGTGAGTAAGAATTACTACTGTCAGGATTAAAATAAAAAAACAATATGCTCTTTGATCTTTGTTGGCACTACTAGCAAGAATGATTTTTTGTGTGGGGGAAAAAAAGAAAATCAAGTCAGGAATACAGAGATAAAGACCAGAAGGGAGAAAATAGCAAATAAATAAATAAATAAATAAAATATCATGGCAACAAAATTTTTTCATTCGCCGTGATCCCAGAAACTTGCAGGAGTCAGAACTGACAACCAGAGACATGTAAAACCAAAGGAAACCTGAGCGTCCGCCTCACTCACACTTCTCCCGGGGAAGGTTTCTGAGCGCTGCTCAGCAGGGATAAGGAAGTATCAGTGAATGCACTTCATCGAACATCAGGTGGGGAGGCTGAAGGCAGAGGGGTGAGGAAATAAAGGAGAATGAAGACGAGCAGAAGAGAAAGGAGGAAAAAAATGAATTGTGAAGGACCACCAAATAAAGACCGGAGAGCCTGCGGCACTCCTCTGTGTGCACACGTAAGCCTTTGATCCCTGCGCGGGTAAGGGTGCTGCCTCGTGGACAGACTGCCCTTTGCAGAGCGTGGTACGGAAGTGCTCCCCTCACGGCTCCCAGCCGGCAACTCTCCTTCGCGCTCTGGCCCGGCAGAGGCTGGAAAACCTCTGTTCCTGCCTTGCTGAACTCAAAGAGCAGCTCCTGTGCACCGAGGAAGCGCCCGCAGGTTTCGAGAATACCCTTATAAAAGCAGACAGCAGTAAAACCGTTCAGAAGCACATAGGAATTGCTTTCATCTTGGCACTAACTGCTCAGCCATGCAGCAGAAGAGGATGGGGGTGTCCACTTGCCAATGGAAACAGAAAGGGAAATTGGACAGGAAAAGGGAAGGAAGGAAGAGAAGGGGAGGGTGAAATAAAGCAAAATAAGAAAGCAAAGGAGGGATAAAAGCAGCAACTAAAGCAGCACTATTAAACTTTAAATTCCATATTTCAGGAGGCCAGAGTCCTACACAGAGACAAAAATACCCTGACGACTCTGTATCTTCTTTAACTCACACACTTGCCTCTGTCAGACACTGTAATACACATACACTGATACTGCAACTCCAGCTGTGCATAGTCGTGCAATTCCCCTTCCATGTGTGGAAGTGCAACAGAAAATGCATATTCAAAATGAAAAGTTCTATTTTAGTAGGCCACTACTAGGAAGATGTAAGCAAGTCCCAGTAGTTTTACATGATAAATTAGACAAACAACAAGTAGCAAAAGTGTGTCACACTGACTGGATTACAGAAAAAAAACATAGGGATTTCCTTTTGCTCAATACCCAGAGCAGATCTGGGGCTTGGATCCTCAGCATAACTGACAAACCAGCAATAAGTAGACAGTTGCAAGTTCCTACTTGCAAGCACCATTCCAGTGCTCCAGCTGTGTATAAAAAGAAATACTCACCATGCTAAGCATATCCAAGCTCAGGGGAACATTGTGTGAGAGCTGTTTAACCGCTTTGTCATCTTCAACCTCTGAGTAAAAGACCTTGGGAAGAAGGTACAATAAGCCAGTCAAAGCAATATCTCAATGCTTCAGAATAACTTAAAAATAAGTGCATTGTTATCACATTGAGGACAGCATTTGAGCCTATGATCCCCTACCTTTTCAAATGCACGAAAAACCAACGTCCTTTAACACTCCCTACATACTTCCTAGAAGTTGTCAGTATGAACAAAGGACACCATCTTACAGTGTATACACTGAACTGACGTGAAACACAGCCTAGATTTTAGGACAGACTTGAACTGACAATTTTAATTGTGCATCATTTGGCCACGGTCAGCACGGACAGCTAAAGATTCGTGGAGCTGGTCTGCACAAGTTAGGCATTTTACTTCATATAAGGAAGACATTGACATTACATGATTATGTCATTATAAAAATCACTGTATCATAAATGCCTCTCCCTGTCTGTTGCCATATACTGGAGACTAATGAGCCAGGCAGAGTCTGCTTTCCTGTGCATAGAGACGCTGAGATGCCAGAGGGTCAAAAGCTAACACAAAGTGAAGATGGTTTGGGTACAGCATTATCAATGCTGTTTGACATCGGTTTTTTTATCATGCCACACACGAGCTCAATGCTTAAAAATAAACTGGGGCTTGGATGCTTGATCTACCATGTGAACAGTGAAAACTATTTACGATTTTTGACTATGAAGTATTGCAATTCTTTGAAAAATACCACGACCTACAGAAAAGCAACTTAATCACTGCGCCTCTGTTTTCACACAGGAGAATGGACCCAGCTACACACACAGGCCAGCTGAGGCAGGTACTGGCCACAGCAAGTGCTTTTCAGTGTCCTAGAATACACCCCCTTTTGTAACAATAAAAACAACCCTACGCCTAGGCTGCATTAGTGTCATTTACAAGACCCTGGGGTGAAGGGGCAAGCGTACCAGAAATACCTATTCCAGGGAATTTTCTCACTCTTCTAGCATACATTAATAAAAAAGGTAGTCAGGAGTCTTCTGCTCCCCACTCTTTTACATAAAACTGAATTTGGGATTTTTTTTTCTGGAAATTTCAAATCCTTCCACAGAAAATCCTCAAAAAAACAACTGCTATTTGTTTTTTGTTTAAGGAAAAACCAACAAATTCTAGTTGATATCCCACATTTGGTGCTAGTTCCTCACTGACTAACTTCCATTTTGGGACTGAGTTTCATTGCCATGGAATACCTTTTAAAGCAATACCTAATAAAAACGGAATGTATGGCAGATTAGCACTCTTTCTGCTTGCACACCAAAACACAGTACCCAGTTTAGGCTAGCCATTCTGTTTTGCCCAATAGGCAGAAGGTAATGTGGTGGAGGTTCTCCTATAAAATTTCTGCATAAAATGGAAAAATAATTTTATTTTTTTAAAGGAAATTCACCACTGAGGTAGGAGGGAATAAAACAAAGTCCCTTTTGATATTTAAGGATGTGGCTGGGCTTCCAGGGATGCTATGCAGTACAGTATCTGTCAGGGGAAGTGGCACCACAAAACTCTCCTTCCCCTCTACCTGCTGCCAGTCTGGGAAGGTTTAGAGGCAAAAGTTTGGAAAAGCCATTCCTG